TCGGCTCAGATATTTATTTACAAAAACAACTTTTATTTATAAGTTAATAACAAAAAAAGCAAAAACTAATTTTAAAAATAATTGTTTTAATTTGTACCAAAAACCCAAAAGAAATGCTTTATGCAATTCGTGTAAAATAATTATTGTATTATTTATCTGATTATGAAATAAAATAAAAATAAAAACTTTATAGGAAATAAAAGATTAGTTTAATTGTACGGAATAATAGCAGTAAGAACTGATTGAAACAAATGATTTGTTTAGACTTAAGATTTTATTTTGCAAACTAAAGTATAGTATAATTCGTTAGTGCTTATGAAAAACAATTATCTCTTTTCCTGATCTTAATTTAAATATAAATTTTATATTTATTGTTGTTTTTTATCATTTATTTTCCATTAGGTTTGAAATCATGTTTTTCTTGAATTTAATTCTTTTATTCAATTTTCTTCATAACTAAAGTTGTTTTTCATTGAAAAGGGTTCTCATTATTATATAACTTGTTATATCATTTTGAGCGGAAATATGGTCTTAAACTTATAGATTGTATTAAAGGAAAGTAACTTAGTTTTCAATTGTTTGACATTTAAATTTCATTTATAAGTTTCTTTTTTTATTCAAATTCAAATTGACAACAAATGTAAGTCGAGTTTTTAATATAAAAGTTGTGCTTTAAATGCAAACTACACACGAAATACAGGAATATCGTAATAATACATAAGTTTGCGTATGAATTGTGAAACAATACGTTAATTATCATTGCATTGAGAGATAAGTTCAATGAATACGAGATAATCATAACGTTATTTGGTTAATATATCACGACATGCATTGAAAAGGCTAACAGATACTGTAGTTACTTTTTATTACTTATTATATCGATTGGGAGTTATATTTAAACGAATAAATTCTAAAATACTATTTCAAAGTAAAAGTATTTTCTATAAATATATTTAATAACCTTTTTTCTCGAAAGAGCAAAATACAGGCGAATAAATGAAAATGTAGTCAAATTTGATAAACACTTTTTAATAAAATATAAAATCATTTTTGTGGACTTTTCATATATCCTTATAAATCTAAATATAGAAATATATTTGAGTCAATTAACAAATAAAATTTCCTATTATTATAGCGAAAAGACGTCTGAAAACATTTCTTTGTAGTCAACCAATGGATGAGAAAATAGTTAATAATATAAAAATACAAAAATAGTTTTCGTTTTTTAATTTAATTTCAAATCATTGCAAAAATAATCCCACAGAAAAAGTTTATTAAATACAAAAAATAATAGTATAAATGAAAAGCATTATAATAGCGAAGAGAATAAGAGAGTTTTAAGGAAGAGATTGGGAAGAGATATAAAGTTTAGTGTACTTTAAATCTAAGGTTAAGTTTGCCTGATATTCAATGCAGAGATTTAATTTACACATTAAGGTAGAGATATATTGGAGAATAATAGAGAAGTTTTGCATTTGATTTACTAAATATACTACTCTTTAAATATGGAATTAAGTTCACAGCTATTGAACAAATGTCTCAAACAAATGGATGGCAATGAACTCAAAGCAAGCGATCCATAAGTGGGTCAAAAAGTTGTGTTGAGTGAAAATTTCTGACCATATTTTCTGTTTCCATTGCTTTCAATCATTCAAACATTGTTTTGTTTTTTATATTATTACAGTATTATCTTTTGGCTAAATATTAAAATTTTTATTTTAAAATTATATTAAATAATCGCATTAAAAATTGTTTACTAAAAATGCTTATTATTTGATTAATTTTCGTAATCGGACTAAACTATAACTTTAATCATCTCTATATTTAAATCAATTCTTTTGAAATTTTAGTCATTTATAAAGTTTTAATTTTTGTTTTTGATAAGTTCTAAATGAAAAACAAATAGTTGGAAAGTCTATAATCAATCAAATAGTTATACCGAAATTAATAATAAAAAGCAATGATTTATTTTATTTGTACGAGAAGCTTTAAAACTCTAAATATACTACTCTTTAAATATGGAATTAAGTTCACAGCTATTGAACAAATGTCTCAAACAAATGGATGGCAATGAACTCAAAGCAAGCGATCCATAAGTGGGTCAAAAAGTTGTGTTGAGTGAACATTTCTGACCATATTTTCTGTTTCCATTGCTTTCAATCACTCACACATTGTTTTGTTTTTTATTTTTATTACAGTATTATCTTTTGGCTAAATATTAAAATTTTTATTTTAAAATTATAGAAAATAATCGCATTAAAAATTGTTTACTAAAAATGCTTATTATTTGATTAATTTTCGTAATCGGACTAAACTATAACTTTAATCATCTCTATATTTAAATCAATTCTTTTGAAATTGTAGTCATTTATAAAGTTTTACTTTTTGTTTTTGATAAGTTCTAAATGAAAAACAAATAGTTGGAAAGTCTATAATCAATCAAATAGTTATACCGAAATTAATAATAAAAAGCAATGATTTATTTGATTTGTACGAAAAGTTTTAAAACTTAAAAGTACTGAAACTTTACTGGATTTAAAATTCTAATTTTATAGCAAATTTAATCAGCAGCACTAAAAAATATTTTTCTGATCAAACTTTAGTAACATTTAAAAATCTGATCACAAAATTAACTTTTTGTGTGCATTTATTTGAGTTCAAATCAGTTTTACATATGTTTTCCCGTAATTTATTACATTTATTTCTAAACATTGCATTTTTAGTGCAAAACAGGATTTTTATTATAATTGCAATAATCGATAGACAGAAATATTTTAAATCAATTTTTAAATTGCGAACAGATTTTTGTTTTGCAAAAATATATACAATATTGTTGTACTTTTTAAGAGCAAAATTAGATTTGATTTGAAAAACTTTGGCTTTTTATGCGCTACAACTGACAGATGGTTTGGTTTTCCTAAAAGTTTAGTCAGACTTTCGCTGCAAATCATTAACCATTGGGTGAAAGCAATCATTTATAATGAATTATTAATGATTGATATGTGAATGAGATAAGTAGTCATTCAATACAGACATCGATTAATGATTGTATATTCTGTCTATCGCTTTGATACTCAACTTTTTGTCTACTTTTTGATTTAAAAGATAGAAAACAATGAATTATAAACACAATAAATACAAACAGATAGATATCCACAAAAATCGTGATTATTGGACAGAAATGGTAGGTCTGTTCGTAGGTATAAACCCAAAAAGGTTCAAGGCCCTAAAAATATAACTGTATTTCATTCAATAGACTTATCGGACGCTATAATAAACTGCATGAATTAAACACTCAATTGATTGATGCATACAATAAAGCAAATACAATGGCTGTTAATAACTTAATCGTCTAACTGTCGTATATTATAATGCAATTAAATTTCTGCAAAAACAGTACGAAATTTGCAAACATTTTCTAAGGAAATGCACACTTTTTTAAGACAAAAGTTTCCTTAAATTTATGAAATAAATGCAAATAAGGGCTCAAAAGCAATGAATGCAAACCAAGTGAAGAATCCTAACTCAGGATTCTTAACACTCTTTGCATGTATGCATCAAATGATCAAATGATGCAAAACTGGTCAATGGTTTGTAAATCTTATAAACAACGCGTTATATTGAAGATAAGGCTTTGCATTTGCATTCATATTAAAGCAATTAAAAGTATATATAAATATAATATAATACGAAAACAAGACAATATCTACCATTAGGAGAGGGTTGCAATTGGGGTCGTCATTGTCATCAAATACCTCATCCTCTATGATATCTTCAAAGACAAACACCGATCCCACGGAAGGCGTTGGATGTCTGGCGCACATCAAAGCCATCAATAATGTTGTGTTGAGTGAAACTTTTTGCAATAAAAAAGTTGTTTTAATCACAAATTGAAAACTTTGTTACATGAAGCACAGAAGTGACATAAAGTGTTGTTAAGAGTTAACAGTTAGTGAGTGAATGAGTGTTGGTTTGGTTTAGTCGACTGCAGTTGGAGTGTATGTGCCGTACATTTACTCAATTATGAAATGTGTTTGAATGCTAACTGATAGGGAATTGTGTCAAAATCTAGACTCTGGAGGTCTTCGAGGGGAACACAATATCAAAACAGTCGTCGCTCTGAACGAGTGAAGCGAACCTAAACTCCTCCTCCAATGCGATCGCAAGAGAGTCAGAGAGAGAGAGAGAGAGAGAGAGAGAGATCGCAAGAGAGAGAGAGAGAGAGAGAGACGTCAAACACCGGAGAACTTTATATGCATAGAGAGTGGAGTCGAGTCTGCCGTCCGTTTGTTATGCGACGTGTGTTGGGCTCGTGTCCCACACCTGCCATCACAGTCACCACTGCCACCAAACTTCTGGCACACGCTCTTAGCTATTAAAGTGAGCATATGTTCAGGTTTTCCTCGCTTTCATACCAAACCATACTTTCCTTCAATTCCCTTCACTAAAAGCTATGTTTTTTAAGTGCTATTTATTATCAAAAACTACTCCTCAAACACCTGGACTACTCTACCTGGCCTTACCTCATCTCTCTCTCTCTCTCTCTCTCTCTCTCTCTCTCTCCTCTGGTCTTTGCAAAATTTAACCTTAACTTATGCTATCAATAGACATACCATACCATTAGCATACACCTGGTCCCCCTTTGCAATGCACGGGCTTTAATTACGCGCACGTATCAGACATATCAGTCCCTCCGTATCCCCGACACGATAGAAAACACGTACAAAAACGTTAGGTTTAAATAGTTTTTGTGTTGAATTGTTTGCGTCAAAGAATTCAAAAAATGTATTTCCAGAGCAAAGATTTTTTGCACTTCAATAGCATTGCATAGCAGTGTTGAGTAGAAAATGTATGAATATTATGCAAACACAAACTTTCGCACTGATGTGTTGCAAAGCCCGGGACCAACTGTTTGGTATGGCTGATGGCTGGCACAGGCAGTGTCTGTTGATTATGTTTAGCTGTTTGTGACCCACTTGGCCGCTGCCAATCATATCATGTAATTAATGAACCGTCTATTTTGAAAATCATGTAATACTAGCCGTACGTTACGATGAGCTGAAACACAACTTTTTTCCCATTCTTTCGCTGGGCTTACGGTTCATATTTTTCATTGAGACTCAATGATTCACTTTTGCATTGACTTACTTTTTTGTAATTTGCTTTCAATACCATTAACTCCACTCAATGACTGCTATTCAATCATTATACTGTATTCCATGACTATCTCATTACAATTAATATCAATAATGAATTAATGAATGCATTTTTATTTGCATTTCTTACGATCGTTCGGTTAAATAAGAATTGAATAAATTTTTTGTTATTATGAAATGAAGTTTTATTTGATTGAATAAACAAAAAGTTTATATTAAATTAGATGTTATAATAAATGTTTGAGCGTTTGGCAAAACATTGAGATACTAGGAGAGTAGTCATCGAAGTATGAAATCACTTAATAGGACTTTGCGGCCAAAACAGGAGCGTGTTGTAGGACTGGCTCGGCCTTCAGCAGCGGAGCGGCACGATATGCCTCCCCCTTGGCTACGACTGTACGCACCTCTTCCAGCACTGGCTTCACTTCTTGGGTGATCTTACGGAACGGTTGGATGACTTCACGGAACTCTTGGATCACTGGCTTATAGACCTCATGCAACAGATGGGAGGGCTCCTCCTCGGATCGGGTGGCCTCGTGCTGGGCGGGCGCCCCCTTGTGGTGGACCTGTTGGATCAACAGAGGACTGGTGGCCGACTTGAAGATCATATGCACGGGCTGTTCAAAGGGCTCCACTTCGATCACCTGAGGGGTGGCAATGTCTTGGGGCAGAGCCAAGGGAATGAACTCAACGGTTCGCACGCTTTGAATGGCAGCGTTGACGGGTCCGACGGGTAGCGCTCGGGCTATCGGTGCCACGTATCCGGTCTTCAACGCCAGGGGGGCCTCTCCATAGCCTCCATACCCAGTTCGGGCCAAAGTGCCGGCGTTGACATACGCAACGGCCAGTGATATGATTACAAACTTTTAAATAAATTACATATCAATTATTCTCTATTATTGAAACTCTTTTTAAGAAATTATTTATATTAAATGGTGAGAAACGAAGCAATGGCTTACTTTAAACATTTTTGTTTTTTGAGATTTTTTTAGTGAATTAATGAATGAATTATATTTTGCTCTTAAACCAAATGGTCTTACAATTGACTTAGAAATGGTGATAGAATTAAAGTGATGAGCTTTTTTATACCTAATCCCTGGGAGTGGCGTTGCCCTACAATCGCCTAAAAAATTGTTATTTAATAGAGAATCAATCTTTCAGAGGAAGTGGTCTAAAGAAAGTTGTTTTTTAGGGACAGTTTCACTTTTAGGCGAATCTCTTGGCATTATTTTGAACTCAAGTATAATAAAATAGTTCACATGTAAAAGTGGACTATATTTTAAATTTTTGGGAATTAACCTTAAAATAAGTTTTATAACAGATCTTTAACTTTACGGAAACTAGTTTTTTTGGGCGAATAAGTAGACATGTCTGCCATGTCTGGCAATAGATGTTATGTCAGGTCAAAGATAACACCTATCTATAAGATAATTACCGGTACAAATATGTAATCGTAACGTTACAANCTCTCTCTCTCTCTCTCTCTCTCTCTCTCCTCTGGTCTTTGCAAAATTTAACCTTAACTTATGCTATCAATAGACATACCATACCATTAGCATACACCTGGTCCCCCTTTGCAATGCACGGGCTTTAATTACGCGCACGTATCAGACATATCAGTCCCTCCGTATCCCCGACACGATAGAAAACACGTACAAAAACGTTAGGTTTAAATAGTTTTTGTGTTGAATTGTTTGCGTCAAAGAATTCAAAAAATGTATTTCCAGAGCAAAGATTTTTTGCACTTCAATAGCATTGCATAGCAGTGTTGAGTAGAAAATGTATGAATATTATGCAAACACAAACTTTCGCACTGATGTGTTGCAAAGCCCGGGACCAACTGTTTGGTATGGCTGATGGCTGGCACAGGCAGTGTCTGTTGATTATGTTTAGCTGTTTGTGACCCACTTGGCCGCTGCCAATCATATCATGTAATTAATGAACCGTCTATTTTGAAAATCATGTAATACTAGCCGTACGTTACGATGAGCTGAAACACAACTTTTTTCCCATTCTTTCGCTGGGCTTACGGTTCATATTTTTCATTGAGACTCAATGATTCACTTTTGCATTGACTTACTTTTTTGTAATTTGCTTTCAATACCATTAACTCCACTCAATGACTGCTATTCAATCATTATACTGTATTCCATGACTGTCTCATTACAATTAATATCAATAATGAATTAATGAATGCATTTTTATTTGCATTTCTTACGATCGTTGGGTTAAATAAGAATTCAATAAATTGTTTATTATTATGAAATGAAGTTTTATTTGATTGAATAAACAAAAAGTTTATATTAAATTAGATGTTATAATAAATGTTTGAGCGTTTGGCAAAACATTGAGATACTGGGAGAGTAGTCATCGAAGTATGAAATCACTTAATAGGACTTTGCGGCCAAAACAGGAGCGTGTTGTAGGACTGGCTCGGCCTTCAGCAATGGAGCGGCACGATATGCCTCCCCCTTGGCTACGACTGTGCGCACCTCTTCCAGCACTGGCTTCACTTCTTGGGTGATCTTACGGAACGGTTGGATGACTTCACGGAACTCTTGGATCACTGGCTTATAGACCTCATGCAACAGATGGGAGGGCTCCTCCTCGGATC